TGAGCTGGCGCTAACACTGGGTGCCGGCACTGGGCTGCTGAATCAATTAATGAAGATTCCAGAAGTGAAAAGCCAGTTTCCTGGAACGGTTTCCCTTGAGACCTGAGTCATCTCCAGCTGCTGCTCAATTTTTAATTTTGAAATTAAACCGACCCATGAGCTTTTCCTTCCAGTGGCCAATTGCTGATGCTCCGGGTCCCTGAAAATCGAACGTATAGCACACACTGGGGGACTGGACAGAAATCCAGTTTCCCATTGCGCTTCTCCCTGGGCACTCCCAACTCCCAGACGTTGCTGTGCAGTTCACGAGTCCGAAACTCCAGAACAGCAGGACCGCACGATGCCGAGTGCAGCCAGACCCTTACAAGACTCACAGTTTGCCTTTGGGAGAGGGCTTGGCAGAACTTTTTGTATTTGTTTTATTTTTCTTCTCTCCTTTTTCTTTCCAGATTTTTTTTTACAACAGTTACCCCTCTGCTAAGTCAACTTAAAAGATGCTACTCCAAAGAAGACTGGGAAAGGGATAGAGTGTCTTTCTCCACGTGGTCCCCTAAAATATACCCTTAAAGTCTTGTCCCACTTTTAAGGTACCAGGGCCCAGATACCTGCTTGCTGGACGCATCAGATGCGTGCAGAGCACTCAGAAGGTGCTGGTTTTGCTTCTCCTACTGGCTCTGTGGCCTTAGCACTAAGCACTCACCTCTCTGAGCTCCATTTCCTCATCTGAAGCATAAAGGGTGCAGGGAAAGCATCCGCCAAGGTAACAGCTTTTCAATATTTCATGTAGCCAAATAGGAATTCTGTTTGCCAACTAGAAGAGCAGAGACACATCTTATTCATGTATATCCCCTCCCCCAACCTCGAAGCTCAATGCCATGGAGCACAGTAGGTCTTACCAAGCTTAAGTGAATACGAGGGCACTGAGATTAAACGAAGCGTTAGGTTGCTTTGTTCTGAGCTGGCGTTCTGTACCTCAGGGCCCTAACAGTGGTACTATCTCAGGCTAACAATCGTAAGTCTGAAAGTCAGTAACCTTTTTTATTAACAAATATTTAAAATGAGATATTCATAATTATAGTTTGTGTGAATTTTTTAAAATACATTAAACCAGTTATCCATCAAAGGAAAACATCAAAGGGGAAAATATCAAAGGACAGGCAATGAAAACTTTGGGAGTAACTGGGTCGGTTAATCTTAGCATCACTTCCAGTTCTAAAGTTCAGAAATTCTACAGGGATATAGCGTGGCACGATGTGGCAAACTAGCTCTCTAAGTACCAGTTAATTTAAACTTTTGTAATTATTAACAGATATGGTTAAAACGTTTCCTTTAAAATGTCTTATTTGTTTAATGCCCTGGGAACGCACTTGTTTTAGAATGCAGAATGCCTCATTTGGAGACATAATTTCATCTCAATATGCACACACCTGAGCATAGAAGAAAAACAAAGCTCTAAATTTATATCCACTTCAGTTATCATGAACAGCCACGTTAACAATAATAACAATAATGTATTGAATTGTCTGTCCTAAAGCTCTGTGGAGAAGAGCATCACTGAGTCCCCGAGAACCCTGAAACCCCACCCTGGGAGACTCCAGCCGCCACTTCAAGATTTTTCTGGAGCTCAGCAGGATACACCGCCCTCTAGAGGAAAAAAACCTAATTGCCTTTTCAGAAACAGCTGTACCAGGATAAATGTGTTAACTCAAAATCTTATCTCCTTCCCCAAATAGGACCGAGAGACCAGCATGTACTAAAAATTATATTTTCAAGAATTAATATAATGAATTCCTGAAGAGAACCCCTTTTTGCAAAATGAGGACCTGCAGGTACTCCCTGGGAATAAGACATGCATCGCTGTGCTTTCGAGGGGACAAGCAACATCTTTTACGTAAAGAGTAGGATTGTCTCCCGGAACTTTGACGGTGGAAACAGAGAAGGTGCATCTAGAAATGCAGGAATGAAGAGGACCGTCCTTGCTAGCTCTGTCCTGCTGGCTGTCTGAACCAGCAGAAACCTTTCAAAGCTCCCCTGACTTAAAATTTGAATCATTTTGGGCTTTCATTTCCTTAGCTAGCACTACTAAGAGCATTTTTTAAACGTCAGGCCACTCCTCACACCATCAGCTATTTATGTCGCACTGGTGAGTGTTTTACTGCTTGCCACAGCCAGGACATCATGAAAAGGTTGCTTCTGTAGGTCAGCGTGGAGAAGCTGCCCAGTACACAATGTCCCCTTCGGCTGGGGAAACCACCTGCAATTCTTCCCCCAAGAGATACCACATTCTCGGCTTCTTCCAAAAAGAACAGTGACAAAGACTAATTTTCAAATAAAAATGTTTTGCTAAAGTTGTTAGCATGCCTGCGAGAAAGTCTCCTGCAACAGAATTCATGACTTGTCAGTGAATTTTAAATCCTAAACGCGGAATTTCACACAAAAGTGGGAAGTGGGACAGCCTGCTGGTGAGGACCATACCTTATCCCGTTCGTTGTCTAAACACTCTGAGCAAGGAAACAAGTCGCTGGCACAACCGCACCACCAACTTCCGAAGGGGAAGGACGTCTCATTTCAAGCTGGCATTAAGCCCCAGAGTCAACGGGCTCCATACCCGAAACTGAGGTCAGGACGGGAAGCCTCCTTTGAACCACTAATCAATAACCAATAATGGATTGAATAGAGGGGTTTCTTCCTGCTCTACCATCAGTGACATGTAAAGTTACTGAGATACTAAATCACAAAGGGCACGTCTGATAAGCCAGTGAGATGTAGTCATTTCTAAACACTCTAGAAATAAAGTGAAGTGCAGATGTAAAGAGGATTCTTGCTCAGAAAGATGCCTACCTGTTATCAAAAATTTCATTAAGAGCCCAGCTTTGGACTTTTGCCATGTCCCATCACCTAAGGGCCACAGCCATGGGCGGGGGACACACCCTCCCAAGTGGGAGAAGAGCCCTGGCCAAGGGCTAACATTCTAGAGGCTTCCCCAGCCACCTCCCAGAAAGGTGCCGTGGCCGCACCCTCCCACTCCCAGAGAGGCAGAGGCAGGACAGCCACCCTTCCCCGCCACCGCCCCCGTGCTCCCTCCCAAGTCCTCGTCTCCACTCGACGTCCGCTTACTGGTCTCTCACTGCCACGAGTGAGGAAAAGAGAAAACTAAGCCTCAAGGTAATGAAAAACCCTCGCCCCTTTGCCTAAACAAAGACGGCCCCAGACACATGGCCCTTCCTACATCTCAGTTTCTGCAAAAGCCCACCTCCCACGCCTATGCCTTAATGCTCAGCTGCAAGCCCACACCAGGACGAGGCAAACCCAGGTCCCGCTGGGCCGTCCACCCCCGGGCGGCTGGAGTGAGGGGGGCCGGCTTGGTGTTCCGGCCACAGAGCCGCTGCCCCTCCCTGCGGTCCGCCTCGCTTCTTTCTCCGTTAGCTGGTAGATTCTGAGGAGCCCAAACCGGCTTTCCCATCCAGATGCGAATCGCTGTGGGCTGGCTTATCTGCTCCGTGCTCCCTGCAGTGGGAGAGGAGTTTGCTGCCATCTCAGACACCCGTGGCCTCGACAAGGATTTCACACCTTGGAGCCTCTGATTCCACAGTTTTAAAACCAGTGGCTTCCAACCAAGTGTCTCTTCCACTATCTTTAGCCCAGCAAAGAACTCAGAAGTCCCGATTATGCCATCCACAGCCAACCAACCGGTTTCAATACAGTTGTGGTAGGAGCAATATAATTTGGATTGTAAAGCCACTTCTGTTCAGTTTTCTGCAGTATTAAGAGTGGGTTCCCGGGGAGTTGGGGAGTCCCAGGCTGGAGATAAGTTTCCCTCAGGAGCCCCGAGTACCCTCGCAGCTCTGGGGTCCCGTGGTTCCCATCTGGGCTTCGCCGTGTGCAGGCAGAGGGGCCGGGTGGCTTGGGCAGTAGCCCTGCATCCGCATGGGGTGCAGGGTCCTCCCCTGAGCTCAGAGAAGGTTGTTCTTGGGTCCACACCAGCCTCTAAATTTGCTCCTGGGCTCGCTGTGAGAGCTGATTTTTCTTCGCCCACTCCCCAGTCCCCCCGGGGCATTCCCAGGGACCCCACCCCTGCTTCAATCCCAGCCCATTTTCTAACATAGTAAGCCCTTAAAACAGGTCCCCAAAACAGGCCGGCGACTGTCAGGGAACACTTTCCATCCTCGGGGAGAGAGGACCCGAGCCCCACCCTGCGTCCTCCGGGCCAGGGAACAGCCCTTGGGCCTCCCAGCTTGGCACCGGCCTCACCTCTGGGCACCACGGGCCGGCCCTGCAGCCCCAGAAGCCCTGCCTTATCCACTCGGCACGCCGCCCAAACGCCACATTCCTTCTCCTGCCCTGACCCTGCAGCTCCTTTAAGCAACCCCAGAGGACACCGTCTACAACAGTGACTTCAGGTCCCTGAGAAGGTGAAGCCCTGATGGCAACGGACGACGGAGTGACCCCTGCCTCAGCCCCGAGCCTGGGCACCAGAGCCACCCAATCTCCTGAAGGCAACAGAGGTGCCCACCAGCCCCGTCCCAGGGGTGGCCCCGAGCAGAGACCCAGCAGACGCACCCTGACTCGGGGTCGCCGCCCGAGAGCTCAGAGCAAGTCTGCCCGTGGAGCTGCCCCACAGGTAGCCCCTGCTATCTCAGCAAAGACACTTCTGCAGACAAAGCAGATCCCCACTGGGTTTTCGGAGGAGGAGACAACTTCAAATAAATCACGAGCCGAAACGCACTGCAGTCAGGACCCCACAGGGCGCGGAGACAGCCGCAGACGGGGCTAAAAGCCGTCATGCTCTCAGGCGACCCGCGACCTTAACCAGGGTAAGGAAACTCAGCTGCCGCAAAGAGAGAAAGAGAAATCGGCGGACTCTTGCAGAGACCTAAAACACGTACGGAAAACCGACGGACACAGTGGACGTAAGAGCCACTAAAGCCGCCTGGGAAACGGCCACCTCGGCGCTGCCCTCTTGCCCGCAAACTTGAGAAAACAGGCGAAGTCGCACTTACCCCTGAGCAAGCCTGAAGATGTGTGTGTCCCTGGGCTTCTAGGTTCAATTATGTTTGAATAGGACGCATATTTCCCCACACACCGCGTCTCCTTCTCTTCCCGCAGCCTTTCTCTGCCCGAGGAGAGGGAGCCGGGACTCCAGGCGCTGCCAGGAAACCTCCTCTTGCAGTCCTCGCAGGAGGCTGGAGCCCAGGAGAACTGAGCGGCCTTTGGTGGACGACTGAGCTCCGAGCTGGACGGGGGCCAGGGATACAGTCAGGGCTTCCTCCAGCTCCTCCTCCTCCTCCCTCCCTTCCTCCCCGACCCCTCCTCTCCCCATCCTCACTGCGGACTGACCCAAACTGTAAATGAAAACCAGACTCCTGCACTCTGTTGCTCCTGGCCCCCGCTGCAGGCTGATGTCACCCTCCGAACGCTGTCTTCCCCCTACGAGCGTTGAGCTGGACTCCTGCAAACCCCAACTCTTAAAAAAAATTGACCACTTCTACTCGTCACCTTTGGGCTGGGCCCCTGGTGGCAAAAAGAATAAATTTTGGAATTTCTTCGTAGGTATCCATGGTTTTCCTGCAATGTTTTCCAACACCATCCGAAAGGAAAACAGGAAATGTAATCCCCCCTCAACCCTCACCACACCCTCCCATTTCTTCTTGAAGTTTCTGAATTGAGACTTCTCCTAATAACCTCCCCTTTCAAATATAAAAACCAGCAATTGAAATCGCTTAGACTTTCCACTAACCAAAGCTCTGTTTGCCAGTGAAAAGGCAAAAAAAAAAAAGGAGTCTACATTTCTTTTAAGTCCTATATATAACGATTCTGATTGTGTGGCTAATAGTCCCATTCTAGGACACAGACCCGGGGAATGAAAATGGTCATCTTGCTCAGAGTTTCTTGTGTTTCAACAAAGCTTTGCACATTTCAAATCACTTTTAATATACATTCTCTCTCTTATCACGAACATTGCCTAAGCCCTTTTAAATAGATAGGTGCCACTTTTGGTTAGGCGAAATTATGGCCCCATTTTACAGATGAGAAAAACAATATTCAGAGAGGATAAGTGACACTGTCCCCTGGGTTAGTAGCAGAGCTCAGATGGCTACTTTGGCCTGGGACACCCCCAACCTTCTCCATCCTCTCCTATCTTGTGGCCCATATGAAACCTCGGTTAATGAGAAATAGCAAAAGATAGGGTATTACTGACTTTGAGAACCTTCCAAAGCCAAGTCTGAAGAGCAGAGAAATCAGTAACTCCTTTCCAAGGATCATCTCCTTGCAGTTTAGGGGAGAAAGGGAGAGAACGCCTCTCCACCCTGCAGCTCCAGGCCCCCACTCACCCATGACGGGGCCCACTCGGCTCTGCCCCAGAGGTCTCACTTGCAGGACATCAGGTGGGAACAAGGATGGTGGCTCAGACGATGGGGCTTCCCCACCCATCACCCACAGGTGACCGTGAACCCAGCAGAGGCTCTGGGTGTGGATCCACACTGCGCATGTAACACGTGGAAAGACATTACTCCCCTGCAGGGGGGAGTCCGGTTGTCCCCCCCACATCCTCTCTGCACAGAGCAGGCACAGAACTGGGCCCGTGTGGGGCTCTGGGGTATGTGCTGCCGCGTCCTTGGTGAGAGTGTCAGCACTTAGGAGAGCGATTTCTCCAGGCACATGTCTGCTGCAAACAAGACGACCTTTGGTTGCAACCTCCTGCTCCAAGCGGCTCAGCTCACGGAAGTTAACTGAACAAGCACCTTTTACGTGTTCCCATTACATAGTTTCTTTCACAAATACACCTTTTTCTTTACAAGATAGCTAAGAATATACATTCCTTGGTTTTAGAAATTACTATTACAGTCAACCCTCGTATGGGTGATCTCTACATCCGTGGATTCAACATGGTTCAAAAATATTCAAAAAATACAGATGATCATATCTGTACTGAACATGTACAGATTTGTTCTTGTCATTGTCCCCTAAACAATACAGTGTAATGGTTATTTACAGAGCGTTTACATTGTATTCGGAGTCATAAGTCACCTAGAGATGACTTAGAGTACTGGGAGGGTGTGTGCGTTCTATACACATCACTACACAATTTTATACCAGGGACTGGAGCATCTGTGCATTTTGGTATCCGTGGAAGATCCTGGAACCACCCCCCACAGATCCCAAGGGATGACTGTGTTTAAATGGCAAAGGTGACAAATCATTTAGAACAAGGTTTAAAGAAATAAAAGCCCCCATTCACTAAGGATCCATACTCTTTAATACTTAACTATAACTAATCATTGATAATCCGCATCCTCTCCAACAATGCCTGTGGCTCTGGAAACCTCTGGAAGCTGGTGGCAGTTGGCGGCAAACCTCCCTTGTGCTAACGAGAAAGGATATTGGTTCTATGGCTTTCTCACTTACTCACAGTATCTGGGATCCTCGCTGAAATGTCATTTCCTCTCTGCCACCTGTCCCAGGAGGAAAACTGTCTCAAAAGTCAGCACTGACCTAAACATCAAGAGTCCTGGGCCTGGAACTGGCCATCTGAGGGACCTCATAAGTCACAGAATCTCCTGACTCAGTTTCCCCTTAACCGTTGGGTGGAACTGACCCTTGGCACCTCTTCCCATCTCCTTCCCTGAACTACACAAGTTAGAAAGTTAAAAACTCATTTCCCAGGTTCCCTTGTAGTGCCGGCTCTGAAGGGGGATGAGGCTGCCCCACTAAGCCAGGCTCCTGGTGTTTGGAAGGTGGACAGAAGGTGCCGGTAACTGTTCTGCTACTTACGCTGCAAGCACAGAGTGGAAGGTGCTACGGGTGCCTCGCCCAGACCCCTTTCATATGAGAGTCGGTCGCTAAGGGGTCACACCTGTGGCCTTTCCTGGGGGACTGCCCGTGGATGCGGGAGCTGCCTCTTCTGGAGACACTGGGGTACATGTGGTGGGCGGATTTCTAAGGTGACCCCCAAGGAGTCGAGCCCTTGTGTAATCCCCTCGCCTTGAGTGCAGGTGGAACCTGAGCCTTGACTCCAGCCAGAATATGACAAAGATGCTAAGCATCCCTCCCCGGATCTGGTTATGACGAAGTGGTGGGAAGTCGCCGAGTGATAACTTTGTTACACAAGACTCTGTCCTAGAAGACTGGCGGGAGAGATTGTCTTGCTGGTTGCTATGGTCTGAATGTCCCCCCAAAAACTCATATGTTGCAATCCTAACCCCAAGGAGATAGTATAACCTTTGGGAGGTTTTCAGGTCACAAGAGAGGAGCCCTAGTGAATGGATCAGTGTCCTTATAAAAGAGGCCAGAGAGAGACCCCTCACCCCTCCCACCGTGTGAGGACACAGAGGGAAGCCGCCATCTATGAACCAGGAAGTGGGCGCCCTCCCGATACCGAATCTGCTTGCACTTTGATCCTGGACTTTCCAACCTCCGGAACCTCTGTTGTTGAAGCCACCCGCCCGATTTATGGTCTTTTGTGCACAGCTGTCCAAACAGACCAAGACGCTGGCGCTGATGAAGTAAGCCACTGTACCGTGAGAGGGCCACATGGTTAGGAAATGCAGGCACCCCTAGGGGCTGTCAGCAGTCCCCAACTGACAACCAAGGAGAAGAGACCTCAGTCCTACAACCACAGGGATCTGAATTCTGGCAACAACGTTATGAGCTTTGAAAAGACCCTGAGTTCCAGAAACCAAGGTTTCAGCTTTTCTGAGACCCCAGCAGAGGATCCAGCTAAGTCATGCCCAAATTCCTGACCCAAGACAATAAATGTGTGTTATTGTAAGTTGCTAAGTGTGTGACAGTTTGTCACACGACAATAGATAACTATTATAGGACAGGGTCATATCCCATCTCCCTTGGGATGGCCCACAGCCAGTGACGTCTGATGTGGGTGCTCAGGGCCACTGCCTCTGCGCCAGACACCCTCTGCAGACAGCTCCCACGCCAGAGCACCCTCTGAGCGGCCTCTTCTCCCACCCTGTCCTCCTTCCCTGCCCCTTGCAGGCTTTTCCTGGGAGCTCCCCTCAGTGAGTACATGCACACGACCCTGTCCCAGGCTCTGTCTCAGGGAACTTGAACACAGAAACCCAGTCCTGAGAAGCCAATTCCAAGACTCCAGCTCCCTGAGCATCAAGAGGCAGCGGCGGGCGGCAGCAGAGCCGGACTCAGCACCCCAGAGTCCCACACCGGCTCCAGGACTCAAAGGGAAGTTGTGACTGCAGTCGCAGCAGCCAGACCCCACGTTCCAGCACCCAGGCCACTGCTGAGGAGCACCCCCATCTTTGCCCCCTAACCCCTGGATTGCAGCCGTGCGGCATGTTCCTAAATCCAGCCTCTCCAGCGCAACCTCCCGCTCCCCCTTCCAGACAGGGCAGAGGGTTAGTGCTGGGATGTCCTGGAAATTATTCTTGGAGGCCCAGCTCAAGCCCACCCCTCTGGGCGTCCCCACCAACCACTGGTGTTGCAACTGCAATTATGTTAATAGATTTGCTTGTCCCTGTGAAGCTGGAGTTTCATCTCATTCCAGAGGAGGAGCGCGAGATTCCGAGTCAGCTTAAAGCCAAATGCTCCAAAGAGGCAACTCCACTACTTCAAGGCAAGAAGAGTTGGAAACGCAACCAATGAGGAGGACTTGAGGTTTCCACTGACCCACAGCCGAGGGCAGCGGGGATTTCTCATTCCAACCCTGTGCCCGTTTTAAGCCCGTCAGGCGGCAGAGTGGAAAGTTGACCTCCTGTCTGGGAATGAGGCGCTAGTGCCTTCTTTGCTGCTGACTAACCACAGGTCTCGGGCTAGTCAGCTGAGCTTTCTGCGGCTCAGTTTCCCTGTCCGCAGAGTGAGGAGTGAGTGGTAGCTATGCAGGTGATGTCCAGGAGAATCCAGCCATGACCCCCAGGTCCAGGCCACGTCAACCACGTTTGCCGCTGCCTCATTTCTGGCCTTGACGTCTTTCCCTACCCCGATCTGCAAACTCCTGCCCCCGCCCCAGGCTCAAGGTCGAGGACACCACTCCCCTGCCCGCTAAGCACTCCGTACACACACAGATGCAAACCTTCCACTGCTCTATCCCACTGCACTGGTAATGTGGCCTCGGCAATTTTCGAGGGTCTAAAACCACAAGACACTTCACTTCGTGCTTCTAAAACACAGCAGGGAAAGCCGTGGCCGTAGCGGACATGTGTCTGTTGGGTCCTGTGTCCAGACCAGCACTGCCCTGATTTGGGGAATGCCCTTTC